GTTTATTGGTACATTTCATTATTTGATACTTGTTTGATTTCTCATGAGTTGGTGAAATGGCATATCAAAAATCTCATGTATCCCTTGTAGTAGGGTAAGTCCCAAGTGCAGTGGTATTGTGAACTTTATGTTTAAACTAAGTAAATGAAGAAATGACATAACATTTGCCAATTTTTGAAGTTTTTCCTTTTAATCAACTAGCTCACATAATACAACAATCCAACCTCAGTGACCTGAATTCTTTTATCTGTGTCTTGCAGAAGAACTGAAACCCAGGGCCTGGTGCTTTACTAATGGCCTACATCCTCCAAACACTTGAGATTTCTGAGATAGGGTATTACTATATAGATGAGACTGGCCTGACCTATCTAGTGCTCCTTCTGGAGCCACCTGTCAAGTGCTGAGATTACCAATATTGGCCACCACAACTGGCCAAGTACTTTTGATTTTATCCTAAGTCCCTTTTAAATAACCATTCCCAGAAGAATAGACAATATCACTGACATGTGACTTTCCTTCAGGATTAGTCAGATGGTACTTTAGGTCAGCAAGGTGGTCAGAGATCAGGGGCAGAATGAAATGTCATCCTAGTCTTGTGAAAAAAGTCAACAACTTATACTATGAGATGCTCTGACAGCTAAGTTGTAATGGTTTATATTGTCACATTGATAGAAATTAGAGTCTCTTAGGAATCAAACCTCCATTCATGCTTCTGAAGGGCTATAGAGATTAGGTGAACCTCTGAGAACACAAGATAATCTTTCAAATTGAGGAGAGAAGACCCACTTTAACTTTGGATAGCACGATAGTATGGGCTAGGGTCCTAGACGGAGTCAAAAAAGATAAAGCAATGTGAGCACAACCATTTACCCCCTTTGCTTCCTGAATACAGATTCATTGTGATTGGCTAGCTGTCTGTTTTTATTTTATTTATTTTTTTATTTTGCAATACAATTCAGTTCTACATATCAGCCACAGATTCCCTTGTTATCCCCACTCCTGTCCCCCTCACCTTCCCCCCAGCCCCCCCCCCCCATTCCCATCTCCTCCAGGGCAAAGCCTTCCCCACAGACTGAGTTCAACCTCGTAGACTCAGTCCAGGTAGGTCCAGTCCCCTCCTCCCAGGCCGAGCCAAGCAATCCTGCATAGGCCCCAGGTTTCAAACAGCCAACTCATGCAATGAGTACAGAACCCGGTCCCACTGCCTGGATGCCTCCCAAACAGATCAAGCCAATCAACTGTCTCACCCATTCAGAGGGCCTGATCCAGTTGGTGACCCCTCAGCCATTGGTTCATAGTTCATGTGTTTCCATTCATTTGGCTATTTGTCCCTGTGCTTTATCCAACCTTGGTCTCAACAATTCTCGCTCATATAAACCCTCCTCATTCTCGCTAATTGGACTCCCAGAGCTCCACCCAGGGCCTAGTCATGGATCTCTGCATCCAGATCCCTCAGTAGTTGGATGGGGTTTCTAGCATGACAATTAGGGTGTTTGGCCATCCCATCACCAGAGTAGGTCAGTTCGGGCTGTCTCTCGACCATTGCCAGCAGTCTGTTGATAGCTGTCTGTTTTTATCGGCATGCCTTCCCTGCCATGGTGGACTACATTCCCTAAAGTTGTAAGCTCAAATAAACACACCCATTCTTTCCTTAAATTGCTGTAAGGAATTTGATCTCAGCAATGAGAAAAGTTGACAAGGCAGTTGGGAACAGCTTAAGCCCAAAGAACCTAAATTTTAGAATCAGAACTAGATTTGGGCTTTAGCTCAGTCACTGTTTAGCATTGTGATCCTGAGCCACTGATAAAATTTCTCTGTACTTGTGTGTCTTTATTTAAAATGCATGAAGAGTGATATGTACTATACAAACTTTCAGGACGATAAAACTTAGATCAAGGAGAATCCCCATGCTGTATTGTAGGCACAATCAACTGTTGATGCAGGACTTGAAGGTAGGGAATGAATTCTAGGAAGAACAACCAGAATATGAGGAGGTTCTGTGGTAGAGAGGCAATGGTCTATTGAAGACCTCAAGAGTAGACTTGATCTAACCCAAAAAGTGAAAAAGGGAGAGTGGTGGGACATGATACTGTAGAGTCAAGAAAGATGAGTTGTTGAGGGCCTACAGCAGTGGGAAGCCAGGAATGAACCCAGTCAGGGAAGTCACACTGCGTTTGGTTTTCATGGTAGCACATACCACATAACCCATGAACCACTCAAGTAGAATTTGTATTCAAATCTTGACTGAAGTTTCCCTATTTCCCTGTGTCTCTATCATTCCTTTATATTAGTTTATCTAAATAAACATTTGTCCTTTAATAAGATATTTTTGTTAAATTTTATTTATTTTTGTCATAATTTTACCTAAGGTCATTTCAAGCAAGCATGTAACACAGTGCATATTTACCTCATTCTCACTTATCTCCCCTTGTCGTGTCTTTCTACCCTTCAATTGTCCCTTTGTTCCCTCAGACATTTTGCTTCTACTCCTGTGTCTCCTGCATAATTGTAATTTGATAAGTATCTTTGTGATATTTTGACTTCTTTTATTATTTAATCCAATGACTTTGTAACTACAAATTACCCAATCCTGCTATACTAGGATTGTCATGAGAATTAAATGAGAAGCAAATACTCAACATAATGTACGTATTCTGTAACTATTAGCTGCATTTCTATTATTATAATTTGTTTATGTATATAGCTGGGGTGTATATCAAACACCTTAGCAAGCTGAGAAGAGACGCAATTGTGTTTGGAGTGTTCCTTTCTGTGTCTCTCATTGAATTCTACCATGAAAGTTATTCTTATGAGGCAGAGTATTGAGATTTTATTTCCTAATCTCCTCTCTGCTTGAAATTCACATTTTTTTTCTCTTGGGAGCAATTACTCATCTATAACTCTCAGTTTCCCTGTCTGTAATGAGGTTTGAAGATTTGAGCACAAGTCTCTTTTTGGGATGGTAACAGGTCACAATGAGCTAAGAGGGCTTAGGGCCCATGGGAAAAAATGCTAATATGAATTTTAAAAAGCCAATGTCATTTTTGATGTCACGGTTGAAAGGTGATAGATATACACAATGAATTACCCTTAATAAATTGCTCTGTGGAAACAGCATAAAGTTGCCCTGAAGATGTCTAGACATAGTGGGTCTCCTTGGTATTAGGAAAGCTGTAGAAATGTCAATTAAGATGAATGCCCAAAGGCAAAAAGGAAAAAAAAAAGAGAGCCATCAGCTTTTGAGTGTAAGAAGAATCTGAATATCTTCCTCTGAACTCTTAATAGTTGTACATAAATTTTTCTGCTGCCTTCTCTGCCTAGGAGAGAAGCTGCATTGTTCTGTTTTAACAAACCAGAGTCTGAAGCTTACTGATTTCTCCAGGGTAAACCAGCAGCTATTGAAAGCTGATTGTTCCTAATTCTAACTCTCAGACTTTCTAGTTAGATTTGCAAAGTCATTGGACCTTACATGAAGCCATGCAACAAATCATCATGGCAGAAATAGCCTGAAATCTCTCACCTCCCATTCACAGCTGTTCACCTAGCCATCTTGCTAGTTGCCAGTTATGATACTGTTTTAATGATATGTAGAGAATTGTGGTAGGGAAAGCCTGGCCCAAGAACAAGATGTGAAAGGAGTCAGGACAGTTCCCATTGTTTCTAGCCTTCATGGACCCCATTGTCTTTGTACCAAGCCATGCCTTGGTATCCCTCTGTTGCTCATATGTCAAAGCTTGTCTATCATATACTCTGCTTTTAGTGCCTATGAAAGATGAATTATTCTTTTTTTTTTCAATCCATTAAATAGGTTTAATCATTCTGTTTCCCTTTATCTGTGGACTACAGGGGATATACAAAGGATGCAGCTAACATACAGGACAATGAAATGTACAGGCCATGATGTATAGAGTGACTGGGAGTGAATGGGAGGGCATTGTATCTCCTCTCCAAACACACTACTCTCTAGGTGCATCCACATGTTAAACACCTCCAGTGCTCTTTAAGCCCAGAGTTGAAGATTTATAAACTTTTCGTAAGCATATATTCAACCTTCAAATTCCTGGGCTTCCTTTTAGCTTTTATATTCATATTCTTTGTGTTGATGATATCCATCTCTTTTTTTAAATTTTTTTTATTTTTATTTTGCAATACAATTCAGTTCTACATATCAGCCACAGATTCCCTTGTTCTCCCCCCTCCCGCCCCCCTCACCTTCCCCCCAGTCTACCCCCCATTCCCACCTCCTCTAGGGCAAAGCCTTCCTCGCAGCCTGGAAACAACCTAGATGCCCTTCAACTGAAGAATGGATAAACAAAATGTGGTACATATACACAATGGAATACTACTCAGCAGAGAAAAACAATGACATCATGAGGTTTGCAGGCAAATGGATGGATCTAGAAAAAATCATCCTGAGCGAGGTAACCCAGACTCAGAAAGACAAACATGGTATGTACTCACTCATAGGAGGATACTAGATGTGGAACAAGGATGACTGGACTGCTACTCACATCACCAGGGAGGCTACCTGGAAAACAGGACCCCAAGAAAGACACGGGGATCGCCCAATGACAGAGAAATGGAGTGAGATCTACATGAACAGCCTGGATATGAATGGGGGTAGTGAAGGGCGAGGGTCGAGGGAAAGAGAGCTTGGGGGACCGGGAGATCCCAGCTGGATCAACAACAGAGAGGGAGAACAAGGAATAGGAGACCATGGTAAATGAAGACCACATGAGAATAGGAAGAAGCAAAGTGCTAGAGAGGCCCACAGAAATCCACAAAGATACCCCCACAACAGACTGCTGGCAATGGTCGAGAGACAGCCCGAACTGACCTACTCTGGTGATGGGATGGCCAAACACCCTAATTGTCGTGCTAGAAACCCCATTCAACTACTGAGGGATCTGGATGCAGAAATCCATGACTAGGCCCTGGGTGGATCTCTGAGAGTCCAATTAGCGAGAATGAGGAGGGTTTATATGAGTGAGAATTGTTGAGACTAAGGTTGGATAAAGCACAGGGACAAAGAGCCAAACGAATGGAAACACATGAACTATGAACCAATGGCTGAGGGGTCACCAACTGGATCAGGCCCTCTGAATGGGTGAGACAGTTGATTGGCTTGATCTGTTTGGGAGGCATCTAGGCAGTGGGACCGGGTTCTGTACTCATTGCATGAGTTGGCTGTTTGAAACCTGGGGCCTATGCAGGATTGCTTGGCTCGGCCTGGGAGAAGGGGACTGGACCTACCTGGACTGAGTCTACCAGGTTGATCTCAGTCCGCGAGGAAAGATGAATTATTCTTAATACGGTAGGGAAGGTAATAGCTGGTGAACTATCACAAAAATTTTCTGGGTCTCAGATTTTTTATCTGATAGGATCATTTTGCTCATATCATTTGTCCTTATGATTCTGTTGTAAAAAAATAGTTATCAAGCCAACTGCATATATTAAGTAATAATTAATTTGGTTTCTGATTTTTAATTAACTGGGGACTTAAGCAGCTGCCAGATATAACTCCTGATCAGCATGGGATACAAGGCTTGTGGCCACCTTGAGATGATGTATCCAGTGGGGAACAGGGAGATTTCCAGCCTACCATGTGAAGCTCAGAGCTGCAATTAGGTGTTAAAATAACACTCTGACCTTGAAAACAAAAGTAATTTTCCTGTTCATGAAAGTACTTCCATGTGAGAGAATCTAAGTTAGGGACTATTGACAACTCCTAAGTTTTCAAGTAAAAGCCTGAGGAACTTCCAGGGGCTAGACGAATGACCTTTTAAACACAGCTGAAGTCAGGATACTTTCAAATTACTTTGATAGTATTAGGATCAGCCCTTCTTTAGTCGAATGTCCAAGATGCATTTTTATTATAAGTTACAATATTTTCTGTACCTGCTAACGGTCGTGAATTCATGTGTTCAAGAGAAATGGTTTTGTTTTCCCCTAAGGTGTGGAGAGAATATGTTAAGCACAGCTTATTTGAAGTTTGATTTCCAATTGCTGCCACTTGGGGAAAAAATGGAAGAAAATAATGAGGAAATTGCTGCAACTCATTTGCATGTACCAATGCTTGCTTTTATTTATTAAGAACAAAAACCACATAGGACATTAACTGATGATTTTTTTTGTCTTATTTTAGATAATGCTTAATTTAAATCTTGGCCAGAAATTATTTTAGTTTTGCTACAAGATTGTGTGTGTATGTGTGTGTGTGAGCTCACTTCAATACCTGGAGAATAAAGAACATTTAATCCCATTGAAGCTGATTCCCTTAACTTCCTGCAGTTCCATCTCTTTATCCTAACACACTCTCATATTGTCTCTTTATATTGCACCATGCTTTCAGGGTTATCAGCCAGATTCTTCACTTCATATTAATCTGTAAACCACAAATATGCCTTGGGTATGCACAGCTCTGGTCTTCAGCCAGGGAAGAAGACATGTGATCATTAAATCCACCTTTCCCTGCTGTTAGTTCCTGGTTAGGTTTTCAGGACAGTGTAAGGATTTCTTCCAACAAGCCTTGTCCATGAGCACTGCCAAATGAGACAGGTATGAACATCTGAACTTACAGCATTTTGAATTTCTCTTATATATTGTCTTGCAGTTTTTTCATTTTCTCCCTTCCCCTACATGATAGACTCTCTTAAGTGTCTCAGGGAAGGTTCTTTTTCAAGAGTATATTCATAAGGTCCTAGACTGGAACATTTTTGGTGAGGAAATCCAAGATTGTATGCAATAAATGAATGAGTGGATGCATTGAGAGTATTTTTTAAAGTGGAGGAACTAAACTGCCCCACCCCCTACAGTTCACTGTATCGTTGGTGTGTTCCTTGGACTATAAGACATTTGGAAAAGTGGTCTCAGTCCACTGGAAATGGTGCTAATGAGGGCATTTATATATTTTTTGTTTTCTTTAATAATAATAAAAAAAACTTGCCAAAAACAGTGGGAAGGAGAGAGAAAAGTTGCCATGGCAACCTCCAACGCTGTACCTCTGAAAATTCAGTTTATACTTTTAAAAAAATATGCCTTCACTTTTCCCTGTAGAGATGGAGATTTTGTTAACTGCTAAGAAGTTTCATGGAGGAGGCTTTAATGATACCTGTCAATTTTAGTGAAGGGAAACACAAATATATATATATAAATTTCATAGATGGTAAAATACTTTTAGCCTTGCATACTTTTTATGTTTCCAAGTTAAATGTGTTTAGTGACTGTTGATTTAGGGGTGAGGCTCACATCTAGTCCAGAAACTAGGCTGATCTCACACCTTGCACACCTTATCATATGGTTCCCAGAAAGAAACCAGGCCTTTGTAATATCAAGTTGAAAAACTCATCAAAGGAGGATAAAATAAAGACAAATACTCACCAAAAGAAGCAAGAGTGCATGAGGGTTAAAGCTTTATATCAGATTTTGTTAAGAATCTTGGCTACTCTGTCCTTTACTAGCTACACGGAATGGAAGATGTTGGCTATTTTTTATATGCCTGTGTTCGATCATGTGTAAAGTAAGGCACATATTTCAAATGGTAGTATGATATTTAAAAAAAAAACAGCATAACTAAGACATATAAGAGCTCAGATGATGCCTGTTGCTGCTGTTGCTACTGCTGAAGGTGATGGTTGTGATGATAATTATCATGGTGATAGTGAATATGATGATGATGTAATGATAATGATGATGGTCATGAGTTACTTTATTATTATGGGTTTTATGTTTATAGAGTATATGAAAAAAAAGAAACACAAGAACAAACTTACATTGGTAACATTCACCCCCGAAAACTCACTGATAATATCAGGCTCTAAGCACATCTGTAGGACATTTTCTTAATTAGTTTTTGATGTTGCAGGACCCAGACCATTATAGGTGATGTCACTTGTGAGCTTGTGGTCTTGGGTTATATAAGAAAGTAGGATGAGTAGGCTATAAGGAGCGAGTGAGAAACATTCCTCTATGCCCTCTGCATCAGCTCCTGCCTCCTGATTCCTGCCCTCCTGAGTTCCTGCCTTGACTTCTTCCATGACGCGCTGTGACATAGAAGTGTAAGTAAAGTAAACCCTTTGCTTCATAGGTTGCTTTTTATCACTGTTTCATCACAATAATAATAACCCCAATTAAGACAACGACTGCCTTATAAACATCTTAGAAAGAATTTGGGCTCAAGATCTTGTCATTTAATATGGAATATGGATTAATCAAACATTACAAGGTAAATAATAAATTCAACCTCCTTAAGACAACATCAAGACTCTGATTGTGTCTATTACTAGTTTTCTGCTCATACACACTTACCATCCCAGTATAAGCTGAACCAAAACCTATAATAATCATGTTCTATCCTCTGAGTCTACCCACTATGCACTAACCTCACATTGCTCTGTTCTGTAGGCACACCACAGCCCAATGGCATGCTCATTTTCTTCAATTTCTGATCACTTCTGATCCATTTTCTACCCTATCCCTCCAAATCTCTTCTTTGTCCAGTTGCTATTGTATTAACTCATAGAATTTTTTTAACTCTTTGAGATTATAATATGATTATAATATTTCTCTTTTCCCTTCCTCCCTTCAAGCCCTCCCACTATATACCACTCCTCACTCTCAAATTCATGGCCTTTTTCATTACCATTGGGTATATATATGTGTGTGTGTGTGTGTGTGTGTGTGTGTGTGTGTGTGTGTGTGTGTGTGTATGGAGTATTCCCAATATATATATATTAATAAAACTGTTAAGTCTGTATAATGTTACTTGTATCTATGTTTTTAGGGCTGACCATTTGGTACTGGACAACCAGTTGCTGTGCTCTTCTCTGCCCTGGGGAAGATCACATCTGCCCCACACAACTTTCCTCAGTTGGCTATAGTTCTTTGTGTAGGGTTGAGGCCTCATGATTTTTCTTTGCTCACTTTGGCATCCCTAATGATGTTATTTTTGGTCAGCTCACTTTTGGCCAGTCATGTTGGTGAGACTTCATGGATGTGGCTTCTGACATTACTAGGAAACACCATCTCACAGCATGCTCCCTGATCCTCTGAGTCTTTTTTTTTTTCTGCCCCTCTTATGTAATGCTCCCTGAGCCTTATGTGTGGGAGTGCTTTGTCAATGTCTCCTTTGGGACTGGGCTCCACAATTTGGCATTTTGATTGGTTGTGGTCTTCTGTAATGGTCTGTCTGTTGAAAAGAGAGGCTTCCTTGTTGAGGGGTGAAGATTACAAATTACACTTTTCTGTAGGTATAAGGATAAATATTTATAGATTGCTGTTAGGGATTATGCTGGTTTAGTAAAGTAGCAATTATAGATTCTCCTCCAAATAACCATGGCTTTACTAGCAGGAAAAAGTTAGTTTTCCACTACCAGGCATGGTTTCCTTCTTTTTGAGAGGATCCTAAATCTGGTTAGAGAGATGTTGGTTTCTGCCAAGGTATGCATACCACTACAGCACCCTTAGGGATATCATGCCATGCTGATATTTCATGTGCTTCATGGACATCAAAGCTGGGTAAAACTATTGTTTGTTTCCCTCCTTTGGAAGCTTGCATGGTACAAGCTAGGCCTCAGGGAGGAGGCATGTAGATAAGTTCCAGCTCAGGGATCTTTGGGCCCTGTTTCTGAAATGTATAGTGTTCTTAGCAATAGATATTAATCTTACACCTCTGGGGCCAACCAAGGACAAACAGTAGGCTGTATGTTTGGGGGTATCTTAGATAGCCCTGATCAGCAATTATAAAGAGGGCTTCTCATGTCCAATATTGGGGTTCTGTTAGGTCCTGTGGCTGTTTGAGGGAACATTGTAGTGTCAGATGAGAAATGTTCATTGAAACTATCTATCTATATTTATAAACAAATTTGCTGTTAAGATTTATGTCACATATGCAAACACTGGTAGGTCCTGTGACACCGTACCACTTACTTTCCTGTTGCTGTGACAAAATACTTGAGCAAAACAGCTTTAGGATGAAAAGGATAATTTGACTCATAGTAGTCCTGGCCACAGGAGTTTGAGGCAGTTCATCACATTGCATCTAGTCAGGAAGCAGACAGAGATGAGTACTTGTCCTCAGCCTACCTTCTTCTTTTTATTCACTTAGTGACCACTGCCCATGATATGGTGCCACATACGTTTAGTGTACGTCTTTCCACTTAGTTTAGTCTAGAGACTCCCTCACAAACTTGCCCCAAGATTTATTTATAGGTGACTCTAGAGCCTGTCAAATTAACAAGGAGTGTTAACAATCACAAGGTTAGCACGCATAAAGTTGACACTGAAACATGTGGCCTTTGAACCATAACTTTTCACCCTATCCCCTCGTGCTCATTGCTGTCTTGCAGTGCAAAAATTCATTTGGTCTAACTTCAGAAGTCCCCATTGTCTCTAACAGTTTTAACAAAGTCCCAAGCTTCAGTCTCTTCTGAGACTCGAGGCCATGGTTCAACTGTGAGCATTTATTTAAAAAAACAGGACTGAAAACTAGTTACATCTTTCCAGTGTCACTGACACTGAATAAACCTTTCCATTTCAACAGGGAGAAGTGGATGCATAGCAAGGAAAGATCAAAACTAAGAACACACACTAGCAGATGTGGGGATATTTTATTTGTGCTTTAATAAATAAAACTTGCCCGGAGATCAGGGGGAAAAGGCCAGCCATTTTTAACTGAACAAAGAAGTCAGGCAGCACATGCCCTTAATCCCTTAGCAGGCAGGATCTCTGTGTGTTCAAGGCCACACTAGGGAACAGAGCCAAGCATGGTGACACACGTCTTTAATCCCAGTACCAACCTTAGAGACCTGGAGGTCTGTACAGACACACAGAAAGTGACAGAGCTGTGCAGGAAGAGGAAGTGAGGTAGCTGGGCTAAGATAGCCAATGAGAGGGCAGAACAGCAAGGCAGTAAAGGTGTGGGTAGATTGGATGTAACTTGCATTTGGAAGCTGCAGAGTTGGTGAGGTAAGGTTGACTGGTGGCTTTCCCTATTTCCCTGATCTAAGGCTTTCACCCCTATATTTGGCTCCATGTTTTTTATTTAATCAGACCATTTTAGAAATTCATCTACAAGCAGAGCAAATGCCAATTATAGCTCCTTTTGGGTCATCTGGGACTCCTGATAGAATCATCTGGCTCTAGGAGTCTTGCAGCCGATTTTCTCCAGCTGTCCTGTGGCTCATGTAGCCTTTCTCTTGGGCAAGGTGTACATGGTTCATGCATTGTTTCTCAGTAGACATCCAACACTTATGGTATTTCCAATATTCTATGGTTCTTATTGAAATTGAGGCTTTACCTTTTCAGCATTGTGCTGTGAGCCATTGAGGATTCTTTGTAGGGAATTCAACCCTGCTATACTTTGCCTAGACTCATCAACCTTTCTGAACCATGGCGCAAGCCTCCATCATCTTCTCACGCTTGCATATATCAGTATATAACACTAGTACCAAACATAAGATGCTTCCAAATTTTACTGAAAACTCAAGATATAGTCAGTCTGCCTTGTATCACATCATATTTTATTGGCCTTGGTGTGCCTTCTAAGCTAACCTGGAGAAAACACTTGCCCCACCCTCTTTGTTTTAAGAACAGTAAGCCCCTTCAGTGACATTCTTAGTTTAGATTCCTGTAGATGTAACCAACCATCTTATTAAATAAGAAACACAGAACCAATGCAAAGAAGAAAGTCAAGAGGTCAGAGCTAAGAGCTAAAACCTTACCCTTCCTCCTGAGGTGGTCCTACCTCTCGGAAAGAGAGCTACTTCCTGTGTTAAAGTCTGTATAAAGACTTTCAGTTCTGCCTTCTCATTGGTTGTAAACCCAACCACATGACCGCCTCGTCACTGCCTGTCTGTATAGACCTCCAGGTCTTCTATGGTTGGTATTGAGATTAAAGGCGTGTGTCTCCAATGCTGGTTGTATCCCTGAACACACAGAGATCTACCTAGCTCTGCCTATCAAGTGCTGGGATTACAAGCATACGCCACCACTGCCCTGCTTTCCTATGGCTTGCTAATAGCTCTGACCCCCGGGCAACTTTATTTATTAACATACAAATAACATTTTAATACAAATAAAGTATCACCATAGATTCCTTTTAAATTAGTTTAGATTTTCAGAATGTCACATTTAATGGGAGGGTCTTGCCCTTGGAGCATGTTTCCTATTCCCCCACTCCAAGCACAGAGGAAGATATTTCTGTTTACTAGGAATAATATCTTTAACGATAAAACAATTACAGCTGCTTTCTCTGAACCCTCCTTGCCAACACATATGCTTTCCTTGACAAAATTCATATTCATCTTTTCGTTCTCTCTCTCTCTCTCACATAAACACACACTATAGATTTAAATAAGAGCTGTCATATTTAACCATGTCACAGACTGAATATGTTCCTGTGCTATTGTTTTGAAATTTCTTCTATGAAACAAATTGGTCAACTGATTTTGGTGACAAGCTTCAGTTAAGTTCTCAGGCACACATAGAATGCAGTCACCATCTTTGACTGAATATAACTTGAATGGTGTCTAGATCAGTTGCCAGTACAATTGTAACTCCCTTCAGAAAGTTCACGAGCTAGGCTTCCACTGTCCACCTTTCTCACAGTATTTTTGACTTTCAAGTTCCCACCAGAATGGCCCATTAAGCTCTGCTTGTGGTATGCTAGGGCTTTTGCAGCTGGAAGTTCTAAACTCGTTCACATTTCCTCCTTCCCTGCATTGGATAGGTCCAAGAACCACATGGACAGTTTTATTCTGGCAACAGAACAATTCCAATGGCTCAATTTTCTCTATGAGTTACTTGTTTCATTGCTTTGACAAAAATACTGAAGGATTCCTTTTGACTCACAGATTGAGGGTATAGTCCATCATGGCCAGAGCTTGAGGGGTGCTGGTCATGTTGTATCCATAGTCATATGAATGCTAGTGCTCCTTTTCATTGTCTTAAATCCCAGTTCATGAAGTGGTGTTACCTGCATTTAGGTTGGTTTTCCTACTTCTGTTAACTGGTTCTCATTGGCAGGCTCAGAGGTTTATCTCCTAGATAATTGTAGATCCCGAGACATTGACAATGTTAATGCCACACAGCAAGCCAGAGGTTCATCTTATTTACCTCAGGGAACTTTTCTGTTACTTTTATTACTCATAGTAGACACACTTCTTTCTTTATATCTTTTTCTTCTCACACAAAAGCCAAGCATAGTCCATGATATACAGTAGATAATAAATATTGATAAGGGGAAGATAAAATAGCTAGTATGTAGAGAGGATATATTCTGAAGATCCTGGTGAATTGAAAATGTTTATAAGGTACATAAGAGATGGAAGTTAGCTAGACAAAAATGAACCTTACTAGGACAAATCTGTTTTATTTGGATATATATTAACAGGATTCTTTCATTCTATCCCCTGAGAATCTAGAATCATCTAAAAAGCGCTGACATAATGAAACTCCAGAATTTGTAAGAGGCACAGTACCTTGCTCTTCTCTGTGTTTGGCCTATATCTGGGAGTTTTCATTCTTTCTAAAGCAGATATACATGGAAGGAAATACTTTCATCATAGCCATATCTTGGTGGGGAATTATCTTAATTGATGTGGGCTAACTCATTCTAAAAGTGAGCAGCACCATCCCCTTGTTTGGGGTCCTGGGCTGTATAGAATAGAGGAAGCAACCCAAGTATTAAAAATGAATTTAATCATTCATCTCTGTTCTTGACTGAAAATGTGATGGGCCAGTTGCTTCAAGTTCCTGCCACTTTGACTCCCTTATTATAATGATAGGATTGAGAGCTAGCATAAACCCTTTTCCCCCAAGTTGCTCTTTGTCACGGTATTTTCTCACAGCAACAGAAATGAAGCTAGGATAGAAAGTGAAGTTCATGAATTTTGAGGGAGACACCCATTTTTACCCAGTTTGGAATTAGGGAACCATAAATTCTGTCCCTCATATTTGCAGTTTATGCCTGTTGTGTCTTCCATGGTTGGTCCAAATGCATTTATTTATGAATATGATGCTGAAGCTGAGCCATTGAAGGATAGAGTTCCCAGCAGTACTTTTCTAGAAGTTGTGGAAGGTGTCCATGCTTAATGAAATAGAGACCTTTCAATGTGGAAAGTCTAATCTGATCTTAGAGAAGAACACGGGAAGTTTCTAAGCAATACAACTTTTATAGTAAAGTATGATTTTGATATGGCTGCTGTTTGTGTTTAGATGTGATGTTTCATGCCTAATTAATACTGCCTTAGTTGACACATTGTGAAAAAACACAATTGCAGTGGGAATTATTTTACCATTTTTCTTCCAGATACTGAGGTTTTGATGAAGCAGAAGAGAAAAAAATGAAGAATTTGACACTCACAAGCCCCCTTTGAGAGAACAGTATAAAAACAATCATAAAATGAAAAAGCTGTATGACATGTACACAACTGTAACATATATGCAGAGTGCCTAGGTCAGTTCAATGAAGGCTCCCTGGTTGTCTGTTCAGTTACTGTGAGCCCCTATGAGCCAAGATTAGCTAATTCTGCTAGTTTTCTTGTGTTGTTGTTGACCCCTCTGGCTCCTACAATCCTTTCTCCCCCTCTTCTGCAGGATTCCCTGAGCTCCACCCACAGGCTGGATGACCCATAGACATAGGATAGAACCAAACATGACTGGAGGAAAAAGATATCAACGTGATATTCTGCTATACAAATAGATTGGTGCCTAGTCCAGTTGTCTTCAGAGAGGCTTCATTCAGCAACTGATGGAAACAGCTGCAGACCCACAGCCAAACATTAGTACTTACCTTGTCAATCTCATTTCCTACTGTTTGTTTTCAGTAACATTGGTCTCCCTACTTTTTCTGTATATGCTAATGTAACTACTTGCCAATCTCAAGGCTCAAAAGCACAGTTCCTGGCTCCTTAATTTGCCGTGTTGACTAATCCAGTCCAAGAACATTATAATTCCAGTGGAGCTAAAATTCCTGCAAATCTCATTTATTAGTTAAGGAAGTACCACTTACTATAACAAATAGATTCCAAATTGTAAATGGATTAACAGAATAAAAACTTATGTTGGCTTTCATTCAACTCAGTTGAGGAGAATTGGAAGAAGATGCCTTGACATTCTATTCCAGACAGTCTTCCAGAGTCCACAGCTAAAAAAGAACACATACCATCCTTATGTGTTTCTAAGGTCTCTTGGAAGGTCAGTTGGCATAAATCAGGGATGAAAACATGTGAACAAAGATTACATGGTTAAATTTAAAATTTTTTTTTAATTAACTGACTACATGTGGAAGTAATGCTCATTACCTGCATTGGTGTCATCCTAGCCAAGCAGTCAGTCATGTTGCCATGTATCTGTAGCCAGGTGGGAAGTACAGTGTTGACCTTGCTTTTTCCTTCTTGGCAATGATGCTATGTAACGGAAAGGAGGATAAATCTTTGTTGGGAAATGAATCACATCTATGATGCACTCCCTCCTTTGTCACTGGTTATTCATGTTCATCAGTCATTCCAAAACAGAATGCAAAGTGCATCCTCCTTTCCCATGGGAGAACACCTGGCATTTCATTCAGGCACTGCCTCTGGATCACCCTGGAAACAGAATTTCATGCTGTTACTCTAACTTTGATCCAGAGCATACAGATCCATTGGGAACCTTTTCAGACTCCTATTTTTGTGGAGATGCAAAGAGGAACTTGTCCTTGTACTCATGCCACTAGTGATGAAATTCTCTTCTGTAATGTTTATCTCCATAGTAACACTAACAGTGTTTTTCTTCTCACAAGAGCACATGCCACTAACATACTCATTGTCTTACCATGTGTGGCATTTGAAGAGTGATTCTTCCAATGTGTATCTATAACCCTATGTTTAATATTTGCCAAGCAAGTCTTTGCTTAAAGTTTATAAACTTTTGTTTATTTTGTATATTTTGTTATCTCATCATATAATTATTGGGAGAAATCTTAACCTTGTAAATCAAAGAAGACAAAGAGAAATCATTATTTTGTTTGAGCACAAACCCTAAAGTAACTTGGGGGTAACAACTATAGATTGTATATTGAAGACCTCAGGAATCTTCCCCTTGCTAAGTGAGTTAGCACTAAGTCTAGTATTGAAAGGGACCACTGGAAATTTCTCTTTATCATTCTGAGAATGTGCAGGTAGTAGATTTCCTTTAGCCTTGTTATTTGATAATAAAATATGAGAATGAAATCTTTTTAGCAACATTGTCCATTGTTTTGATCAATAGATCAAAAGTTCTATCTAGCTTTGGGGGATACAAGAGATCTCAAACAAACTGTTTTCTGCTCATATTTTGGCCGTTGGAGTAGAGAATTATTTAAGTGGTAGAAATTATAGACATCTCATGATAAACATGTCCTAGAGTAGTCTCTCTTAAAGTAATTCTGGGTTTAGTTCTACGACTGTCTTTGGTCAATGGGATACTAATGGTTCATATGGTTAGCTCACAGCTCAGAAATCAACCTACATTTTGAGACATAATATTGAGCTGCTCTTTGATATGTTATTATGACCATATTTTGAAGTCTAGGTTATTTCATTGAAGGAATGGTGTACAGTTTCGCCAGAGTTCTTTGCTTGACAGCCTTAGCTAACATAGTCAAAACCGGAGGCTGTTGGGCCACCTAATTCCTGGGCTTTGTCATGTGCTTACAGTTTCAAGAAGATTCTGGTAAAGACTATCCAAATGCTCAGAAAAATATGCACCAAATCACAGATTTTTGAGCATACAAATTGTTGTAACTTTAAGCCTCTTAGTTTTGAATTTTTATGTGGGAATATAACTATTATAGCTACAAGATATTTTAAAAGTAGTTTCCAAGCAACTTTCAACTCTTCTATTGCAGTAGTCCCAAGTCTAGCTATTGCCCTTTGTTACTGACTTCCCATCACACTCCAATTGACTGGGAAATAAAGTGATTTGCTGGCAAAAGTCCTTGTTTCCAATTAAGTTCTTTCATCTCTTTCTTTAGTTCTGAGGAATCTCAAGTATCTGTTTTTATCCTACTTTTAATGTTCTCATTTTATGGTAGCTATACTCAATCCTGTTGGTCTCAAAGTTCTTCTGCTTATGTTGATAATTTAGATTTAGATTAAATAATTGAGAAAGAGGAATAATTGACAAAACTCTTCCAGTTTTGCTTTTATATTACTAAATTGGAAGAGTGGTATATATTTTGGTTATTTTTAAGTATAGGATGTCCAGCCTTTAACCCATTTGATAATTTTATTTTCTATCATGTCTCCACATTGTTTATTCTTGAAACTCATATATATAGGTTTGAATTGCCTATGTTGAAATAAAATAGGGTAGGTTCTGCAATAATCAGGCACACTGGTGAGTTGTGATTCTTAACAAATCTAAATTTGTGATTTTTAAGGCATGTTACTACTCTATCTGAGATGCAAGTTCTTGATTCTACAACTGTATTTGCCTTTTCACAGTTATTAGCAGGGAGCATTAATGAAAATGTGCAGTTCCTTAGGTAACTACTGTAAGACAAGGTGCAAACTCAATGAATGGTAATAATCACAATTATTACTATCAGGATTAAGAATAATAATTAAAAAAATAATTATCCCCCAAGCATATCCTTCCAGCTATGTCAGAAGCTCATTGACTTATTCTTAAGCGTTTTGAAAAATTAATACGATTTATTTCCCCCATCTTTTATGAAAGTTGAATGTCATTGGAAGATTAATGGTAATAAGAGCAGTAATTATTGAGAATTACGTGACAAGCACCATTACAAACATCTTACCCAAATTAACATGTTGAACACCCACAAGAGCACTGTTAGAGAGCACAGTGATATATCTGTCCCTTCTTTACAATGGGGAACCTAGACATGCAATTATCTGAGACACAAACTGGCTAAGAGTAGTCCAGCTGATGGAGCAGTGTCTTGAATTACCTGAGGGACACAACTTGGAAGTTTGTACACAAATTCAACTCAGCTGTATTTTGCAATTCTGAATCCATTTGATGAAGAGTATTTCTGATGTTAACACCAAAATTTTTATTTAAGTCAGTTTGAGTTTTGTCCTGCATTAGGACTTTGATTTGTCATGTGTGTTATTTTATTGTAATTTCAGTTCAACAAAGAATCATCCTTTCCTCCATATTAATGAGCACATTTCCTACAAATTTGCTGCTATTTTTATCAAAAGTCTGACCTCATTTTGTGGATACCATGTGGAGTTCATTCATGCCTCTACCTCCTAAGTGCAGGAGGAAGAACCTACAGTGAGATATAGACAAGGGCCTAGGATTGTAGAATCAAGAGCCATTGATTTCCTCCTCTAACCCTTCAATTAGACATTCAGGTAAACCAAAGCTCAGATTTATTTTCTTTATGCTTATTATTTCATTCAGTAATTTATACATATTTTCATTTAACAAGACTGTAAGCATCCTACAACCAGTTTACCGTGTCCGTTGGGATAAATTAGTTTCCAGGGAACAGTTGATGCCTCAGGAGGTGAGAACAGTACAAGATTTCTAGACCAACATTAAGAAAGATGTCAGATTATCATGACTTTGAAAGTTCTGGCATGACATTTTTAAGTGAAGTATAGTCTGAAACCTTCTCCAATCTTTGGTTTCTCTTCTCTAAAAAGTTTAAAGCCCTTGAGTCACAAGTTACATTTTATTTTCAACCAAACTTTTTTACCCCTCTTCAAATCCTGATTTGAAAAGGTTATGTCAACTCATATTACTCTAGGGCAAAAGTAACACAGTATGAATTGGTCAATGTGTGCCAAGATTGCATACTTCAAATTGGTTTTTAGAGGAGATAGGAAAATAAGTATTTTAAAATCATGTTTTTTGTCTTTTACATTTTTTCTTTTACTGAAAATAGATTCTTTTCTCATAAAATATATCCTGATTATAGTTTTTCCTCCCTTTAGCCCTCCCAGTTTCTCCCCACTTTCCCTCCCCTCTGGATCCACTCACTTTCTACTCTATTTAGAAAATAACAGGCTTCTAAGAGATAACAACCCAACATGACAAAATAAAATATAATGAGATAAAGCAAATACTATTATATTGAAGTTGGACATGGCAACCCAACAGGAGGAAAAAAGTCCCAAAAGTAGGCACAAGAGTCAGAAACAGGAGGAAGGGTCCCAAGAGAAGGCACAAGAGTCAGAGACCCACTCATTCTCACAGTCAGCAGTCCCATAAAAACACTAAGCTAATAGCTACAATATATATGCAGAGAACCTAATACAGACTCATGTAGGCTCTATGCATGCTGCTTCAGTCTCTGTGAGCTCATATGCACCTTGTTTAGTTGATTCAGAAGGCCTTGTTCTCCAAGTGTTCATTCTCTCTGGCTCTGGCTTTTCAATCTCTCACCCTCCTCTTTCACAGGATTCCCTGAGCTCTGAGGGAAGGGATTTGATGGGGACTGTCAATTTAAACTCTTTCTCTTTATAATGATCTATGGGTATAGCAGTATATCATTAAGAACCATTTATTTGTTTATTTGTTTGTTTGTTTATGTATCTATGTTTCTATCAATCTATTTATTTATTTTGACCAGTAGTGTTTGGTTTTACCCTAGATTACTGGGTTATTTAGTCTTTAGTTCTTGGTTATCCAAGCAGTTCTGGGCATGGGTTCCTTCACATGGAGTGAGCCTTAGATCATATCAGACATTGGTTGACTACTTCCATGGATTCTGTGCCACCATTGACCTAGCATATTTTGCAGGCAGGACAGACTGAAGGTCAAAGGTTTTGTTGCTGGGTTGGTTTCCATGTTACTCTTTCAGTAGCCTGCAGTGTACCTTCCCACACCAAAATGACTAAAATATTAAAGGTGGGTGAGGACTCCATGTAGACTCTAGCTTGACTTCTCAATGGTCAATGAATTATATGGATGTTGTTCTTAGCAATGGGCTCCACTGTCAGTTTGTGGAGAGCAGTCTTTTGACTTAGCAACAGTCTGGGTTGTTTGGAGATTTCCATGGGACTCCCTTGGACAATTCAATTGAATGCATTCTGATTCCACCACTGAGAGCCTTGCCTCGATACAAGAGATGGCCAGTTAAGATTCTGTATCCTCTGTTAGTTGGAGTCTTCACTAGGATCATCTTCATAGATTCCAAGAAGTTTCCACTGCACTAGGTTTCTGGACCACCCCCTAGGGCCCCCACAATTCCAGTCATCTCTTCCTCCACCTGACACTTGATTCCCCTCCTACTCCCATCCCTACCTGCCTCCAGTCCACCAATGAAACCTATTCTATTTCCTCCTCCCAGAGAAATGCCTGAGTCGTCCCTAGACCCTTCCTTTTTACCTAACCTCTCTGAGTCTACAGATTGTAGCTTGGTTATCATTTATATAATGACTAATATCCATTTGTAAGTAAACACATATCATATTCATCTTTCTGAATCTGGGTTACCGCATTCAGGATGTTTTTTTTCTTTCTAGTTCATCCATTTGCCTCCAAATTTCATGATGTCATTTTTTAACAGCTATAGTAACAGTACTTCATTGTATAAATGTATTATATTTTCTCTATCCATACTTCTGTTGAGGGGCATCTAGGTTGTTTCCAGTTTCTGGCCATTGTGAATAAAGCCACAATGAACATGACTGAGCAAGTTTCCTTGTGGTAGGATGGATACTGTGGGCATATGCCCAAAAGTAGTATAGCTGGGATCTTGGGGTAGATCAACTCCCAACTTTCCGAGGAACCATCATATTGATTTCCATAGTGGCTGTACAAGTTTACACTCCCACCAGCAATGGAGAAGTGTTTCCCTTGCTCCACATCCTCACCAGCATGAGTTGTCACTCATGTTATTAATTTAGCCATTCTAATAGGTGTAAGAGGAAATCTCAAAGTAGTTTTAATTTTCATTTCCCTGATGGCTAAGGATGCTATACATTTAAGGTTTTTTTAGCCATTTAATATTCCAATATTGAGAATTCTCTGATTAGATCTATACCACATTTTATAACTGGATTATTTGATTTTCTGATATCTAATTTTTTGAGTTCTTTATATATTTTGGATATTAGTCCTTTACTAGATGTGGAGTTCATAAAAATCTTTTTCCATTCTGTAGGCTGCCGTGTTGTCTTACTGATCATGTTTACTGCCTTACAGAAGCTTTTCCATTTCATGAGGTCCTATTTATTAATTGTTGATCTTTGTGCCTGTGCTATTGGTGTTCTGTTCAGAAAGTTATCTCTTGTTCCAATACAATCAAATCTATTCTCCAGTTTCACTTCTATCAGGTTCATTGTATGGTTTTATGTTGAGGTTTTTGGTTCACTAGTACTTGAGTTTTGTCCAGGGTGATAAATATGAATCTATTTGCATTTTTCTATAAGCACACATCTAGTAAAGCCAATGCCATTTGTTGAAGATGTTTTCATCTTTTTCAGTGTATTTCTGGCTTCCTTATCAAAAAGTGGATTTAATATGTGTGTGGAATCATGTTTGGGTTCCAGTCCATTGATCAAATTGTCTGTTTTTATGTCAATAACATGTGGTTTTTCTTACTGTAATTCTGTAGTACATCTTTAAATCAGGAATAGTGGGACATCTACTAGTTCTTTTATTTTTGAGGATTGTTTTAGCTATCCTGAGTTTTTAGTTTTTACATATGAAATTGAGAATTGTTCTTTCAAGTCTGATGAAGAACTGTGTTGGAATTTTGATGGAAACTACATTGAATCTGTAGATTTCTTTTGTTAGGATGGACATTTTTACTATGTTAATCATCCTGATCCATGAGCATGGGAGTTCTTTGCATCTTGATATCTCCTAGCTCAGTACATCCATTTACAGAGAGTGGACCACAGCTCTGAAATGACTGTTTAAAGATCCTGCAGGTTTTAATTATTTAACCTCTTTTTTTTCTCCACAAAAATATTCACCCAACCTAAAGACAAATTCCATATCCTATTTAATGGCTTTTGAAATGGGATGATCCACTTTTAATCTGGAACACACCTTCAGGACCTGGAAGAAGGAAGCTTTTGCTTTTTATCTACTTGCCCTCACTTTTGCTGACAGGTCCATTCCTTCACTGACAACAGAGCCTACTTCTTCAGGGTTCTGGTGTATATGGAAGAGCAGCTGAGGCACCTAGCCTCATGGA